GATGCGGCAAATTCAGTCACTTAAAAACGTCACAAGCGAAAGATTCTACTGGGTTCGATGTGAGTCTCTCCTCAGCACCATATTCATGTGGTAATAAGTGTATTTTGCTGCATATAAAAGTACTTGTCTAACGAAATTTTATGAGCACCAAAACTCATGAGCAGTGTATTCTGACCACAAAAGTCATTCTGTCGCTGGAGTTACTTATATATGGTCGTTACAGTGCAATAATAACGCAGTGTGTTTAGTTCTGCAGTGCCTAGGCTCAAGACGTCCGCCAAAAAGTCCACTGATTTGAATACAGAACTGGGAAGCGTATAATATATTTGGACAAAAACACTTCTGATTCTATAAAAGGTTAACAGAACAGTGGAATATAGCTTTGCAGTATCCAAGCGTACGATGGACAAACTGCCGCAAACGGTCACGGCCTTTTAAGGCTACTAGTGCAAAAAGTAGCAAACAAGTATTATTTGCAGACTACACTAAATAGAGAGGAAATATTTTGAAACTCGTGTAACACAGACTATCTAGTATGACTGGGATATTTTTCTGTGGAGCGAGATGGCTGAAACCTTTTTCGTTGTTGTGCGAGAAAGCCCATGGAAAGGAGCGATGCTAAAACTTCGTCATAGCACCACAGTGAAATGGCGTCACGCAAATTCAACGTCACATTTCCCCGAGAGTCGCGTTTTGACAAGGATGATCTAAATTACTCTTCCCTATCGCTCCCGGTATATGTCTCTGTAATGGACCAATTTGCCTGTGTAAAGAAACATATAAACACGCCATCAGTTACAGATAATTACGTTTTCTCTGACTGCAGGAAGTATGCCATCAAAGCAGCAAAATAGCAAAACACAAATGACGCCACACGTTAATCAGGGACACTGAAACATCGTTTTGAGTCAGAGCGTAATCAAACGTTTGACGATTTAGCAAAAGATTATGCTGAATTCCTACAACATTTTCATTTGTGTTTGAAACACTGTTGTTTTGATATCTAAAATTAAATTTACCAGTTCCATTGAAATTGCATGCCACGAATTCCCGTATGCTCTCGAAGAATTTGTTCGGTTGACTGCCAAGAGCACGGAGTCCCACATCGTCAACCATTCCATAAATGAAGACAATCGTGAACTTTCTTAAGATGGATTTCTCACTCAACAGACTATCTGTGGTGAGCCTATCGTGTTGAATATAACATCATGGAGAGGAACTTTTCTGTCCTCTGTTTCATTTATTTTCATATCTCGGGATATGGAGGAATGCAGTTTTGCAAGCGGAATCAGATAATGCAGTGAAGGTTGTCAAATAAAAATGCGACTGGAATGTGCTCCTTGTACCGGATTAGTGGTTTGTTTATCAGTCTTTATGCTACTGATATTCCTATAGACTGTCTGAAACTGATGCCACAGCAGATTTATTGGAATTCGATCACATGGCTTTTGATCTATACACCGTGCTGTGCGAGTGACTTGCAAATGGTGCGCTACCGTTCGAGAAGACATCAGCAGCGCGTGCTTGGGCTTGCCAGAACTATGTAGTTGAGGTAAAGCTGCTCTTCAACCAGCCAATCAAGCAAAATTATCAATTTCCGAAAACAGAAGTGAGCGGACACCGTTGTTTCTGTACTCCCGCCTTCTGACCAGATTTGGAGGTTATAAATCTAAAGCTTAGTGACACATACAAGTAGAACAGGGGCAAGGTGGAGTGTGTGAGTGAGTGCGAAAACTGTTTGAGTCATAATCGCCTGGCTTAAGTAGACGAAGTTCATGAAAATAGGTCATAAAAGAGTCACTGAGCGTACGAACGGTTGTTGGGTGCTCAACCTTGGGTTGCGCGAGCGAATCGCAGTTGTATCAGTAGTGGCCAGTCGTTCTTAATAAAAGTATCATGGCTTATATGTGGGTGGTTTGCGCAATTTTTGAAGGGCGGTACTTTATTAGCAATGTGAGCAAACACGTCGCTAGTACCAAATCTCTTCGATCCAGTTGCTTGCCCAACTGGTTGTGCCCCTTGAATCCGTCGCACAACTGCCGTGTCGTGCATTCTACTGCACAACAGCAATCCAAAATTTTGGCTACCATGCTTTCAGGGTGAGCCGACTGCGCATTTCTGAGATGTAGGGCATCAACTGACCGTTGTGAGCCGAAATCTGAGTAAGGCTAAATGGAAGGCTTGTAGAAGTTTGTGATGCCAACTTCTCGTTTGTTCTGTTTATAAACGCAAGCAGATAAGGAGAAAACACCTATCTCCTTGTGAGTCTCCACTAAATTTACATGAAACGTTTGTAAATCAATAGCCGAGCTCGGCGAGCATATCAACTGGTACCAAATCAGTTTCCCCTGTTTCAGACTGCTTGCTGCTGTTCACGTGTAATGCTATTTGGTTCGCAAAGAACAAACTGATCTTTTTCAGCTCGAATAGAGTTTCAAGTAGAAGATGTAAATCTCATCAGACAAAAGTAGGTATCTGATCACTGAAATTTTGTAACATAATTCAAATTCAATTGAAGTCATTGAAGCACTGGGAGGTGGGAGAACTAGCTATGCATTGGAGGCGGGAGCTGATAAATTGGTGCATAAAATACATGTTAATGGGTTGATTGTGTGGAGAGATAACAAAAGTGCTGAGTATTGAAGGCAGTAGCTTAGATGCATGAACGCCATTGAGGGCGCGACTGGGCCATAAACCCAGAATAGTTTACCAGTCGGCGCAGTCTGAATTTTGTTGAATGCGAAGTTGCGAATACATATGGTAAGCTGAAAAAATATCGCTTTCCGAGGAATTCAACTCAGAAAGCAACTCAGGCCAGATTTCTCCAGAATCCCTGTTTTGAATAGGCAAGTGCGTTAATACTTGTTGAAGGGAAACTGGTACTCGTATAATTCCCTTTGAACTAATCTACTTCTCTCATCATATTAACCTGTAGGTTAATCAACATTTCCGTTCCATTTAGTGTGACAACCCTTCAGCGTTACTTTAGCATTCAGATACCTCTACAAATCTATTTCATGACATCGTCCTGGGAATTGGAATACATGGGAGCCATAAAGAACATGAATTCAGTGTGTAGAGAAGGTCTAATTCAATTTTCAGGTCACTTTTCGATTCTGGAATAAAATATATCCTCACAATTGTCTCGAAGATCGTGTGCAAAGCTCATAGTTAACGCAAGCACCAAACTCCCTATTGATACAACTGTTTCCCATATGAAGGTAACCACTGAAGGTAACCTATGAAGTAATATGTTCTGCGGTTTCGGAATACTAGGCGCGGTGTCTTATCCTTCTTCCGTATAGAGGAAAATTTCGGTAGCCCAGGTAGCGTAGATGGTCGTTGACTTGTGTCAATGAGCTGGGCGATTTGATTGCAAACATTTCATCGCCAATCGAGGTGATATCATCTTTTCATTATTGGGGAGCGTAGTGGTGCGTAGCGGTGGGTTGGTGGTTGTGCTACGCTACCGTTCAGCTCACCTCAGAGAAAAACCCAACGAACATCTAACCTGTATTAATCAATTCCGTGTTGGATCATGACTTTTTAATAACACCTTTTATTGTGGGAGTTCATTGGAGGTCCGTTACTCTTTCCTAAGTTAGCCCCATGGAAAACAACCTATCTTTGCTTCGTTTTTGACCCATAGCGTTGTCGTACAGCATAATTTAGGTCGCCGGGTAGTCCTGAGATCTGGTGCATTAGGCTGCAAGCGTTTTGTTACAGGTCGAATAGACGTCTCCGATGGTCTTCTTGACGGTAATTTACCAATTGGTGGTGAAACGTTCGCAATCTAACTTTTCAGCCCAGCTAACTAACCAACTCTATGTTACTAGGCATTCAATAAGTCCATTCATCCATAGCGAACTGGATTATTCTACGTGTTTGGGCACAGCGGCGCATCAAAATGTTGACTGCTTTGCCCTGCAAAAGAAGATTAATCCACATCATTTCCTATTTGACAGGAAGTGTCGCACAGAATGCAACCAAATTGTCGGATGAAATGCTATAATCACATGACCTGAATTGCAGCTGTGCTGACACATTTACGGGAAAAACTGTCTCCCTAGGACCAAACAGAAATTCTCACAACACCCCAAGTTATTTTCATTACACCGCCCAGTTAGTGGCCACGTTACTGCAAACCGCCGGTCAACCCAGCGGCTGCTTCCAGACACTGTATGTGTCGAAATACAAACAAAAGCTTTGCACTGCAAATGTTGTGACATTATAGGTTAGGATTTCTATTTATGTCAACATTGCTAGTTAAAATACTGTAATGTTCAGTGGATCAGTGGACCAAATTATTGCATCAGGTACCCAAGAGGGACATTTGCATGAATGACTCCAAGCGACTTAGTGTGGATAATGATCCTACAAAATACAGATAAATTGTCGCAGTCGGTTGTGGTAGAAGCGTCGCACCTACTTCTGTGTAATCTGGTCCATGAAAGATAAAAGCAAGTTTTGGCTTATTTGAAAGACAATTCACTTGATTCGTTTTTTGTGGCGGTAAGAATAAGCAGTTTGAATATAAGCTCGCAGATGGTTGTCAATCAAAACTGTCTTTGGAAAATATTTTGATAAACTAGGTTGATCAAAGCCACATATTGTGTGGTTTGAGCAGCCTATAGCACCAATATAATTTGCAGCTGAGTATGTCTTCAGAAAATGTATCCTGGACGGGGACACAGTTTTGACAACCGATCTGCAGCTTAGTTGACTGTGACTTGTGCTAACGGTGGTTTCACTTTTGATGTAAACTCATTATATTTCGAGATTCCTGGAAACTGTGTAAATAACCGTATGAAGTGAAAGCAACATTGAAGATTGCATTCTTGTAGTAAATGTTCATGGATATAAACAATATGATCATTTGTTACATATGAAAGACATTGGAAAACAAAGGCTTGTTATACGATCATCAAACAAGAAAAATAGATTTGCAAGCCGTGGTGGTCTCAAATGTTCTGGTTTTGAACAAAATGATAATAAAAAAATTATAAGTTTGGGCCACCATCATTATCAGTGTAGTTTTTATTGTCGTGATTCGCGTCCGTATGTGTAAAACTGAGTGTTGGGCCAGTTAAATTTATCGATGTTTTGTCACTCCGTTCTTCTCTCGTCCTATTCACGGAGACACTTGCATCCGATCCTGGTGGACTTCCTCTTCTAATTCGCGCATATAGCTTACTTTCCTGTCCGAATGCCAGCACTTTTTCCATTCGTTCTCTACGCTTTGCAGCTTTCTTCAGTCGAGCCTGATCTTGATAATATTCCGCAAAGTTATTCACAATGATGGGGATAGGCAAGGCGATTACAAGTACACCACAAATAGAACACATACATCCGATAAATTTTCCGAGAGGAGATTGTGGTGTCACGTCGCCGTAGCCAACAGTGGTAATAGTAATCGTTGCCCACCAAAATGTAGCTGGAATACTACTGAACGAGGCTCTGTTTCCGTCTCGCTCAGCAAAATAAGCCAACGTGGAAAATACCAAAACAATTATTATTACGAACAAAACTAGCACACCAAGTTCCTTGTAGGATTTGAAGAACGTGTGACCAAGAGCTTGAAGGCTGCTAGAATGTCTTGCTAACTTGAACACACGGAGGACACGAAGAACTTGTAGCACCTGGACGATTTCGTTCACAGCTCCAAGCGATGTGACTGAGAAATCTACGCAGGCTTCCAAAATTTTTGAAACGTAGTATGGTAAGGTGGCAACCAAATCAATAAGGTTTAAAAAACTCTTCACAAACTGTTGTTTGTTCGGACAGGCAGCAAATCGAATAAGGTATTCGAACGTAAACCACATGGTGCAGATCAACTCCAAGGCTTCCAAATGAGGATTGCGCACCCACTGACCTTCGCCGCCTAAGGCTGGATCGCTTCGATTGGTTGCGGTTTCGCCTATTCCAGGCACGGTGCTCAGATTCAGGCCCACGATTGAGACCATGACAAAAATGATGGAGACCGCGGCAAACACCTGCAGGAGAAAAATAGATGAATAAAACAATTCTTCAGACTCTTTAGTTTCCGAAGGCAAATAAGTTAAACATGTTTGATTCAAAACCACTGAGCTTAGTATATTTGATTGACTTAACACATCTATGTCTGTTTATATCCAAAATCTTGGTAAGAAGACACTACCGCTCAAGACAAAATATTTTTTCTGATGAAAACCTCGGGTTGTTTTTTCTAGGCTTAAATAGTGCATGTTAATTGCTTAAATGCAACTCACTGAATGGTGCAGCGAACGCAATCCTGAGATATGGCAAATTGGCTGAAAGGGTTGTGTGATGAAGCATTGGCTTTGTTAGTCGCTGTTTGTTGGGCTGCCTCTTCGTGAGTTTGGTGAGTCTAGCCATTTTACGTTCGTTCATGTTATGTAAGCCTCAACCTCTTTTTACGGATTTAGCGAGTAAGGACGTTAAAAAACGCTGAATGAGCGGCCGGTTACGTGGATAATTTCTTCAACGAATATCTCCTTTTAAAAAGATAGCAGTCCTTTGAAGACACCTTTTGAACTTCAAACACACCATTTCACCAGCAGTCAAACTAGTGACTTGACAAAATGGTTGAAAAAAATCGATATTGACGACCAGGGTGGCCTCCTAATTTTGGAATGTCCTTGCACCAACCGTCAATCATCAGACTGAAGCTCCGTTAACTTGCGATTGTGCGTAAAGTTTTTCATCTTTGAGGGGAACACGCTGTTGGAAAACCTTTTCAGCCATTGTTTTCTATATCAAAGTGTCTAACTGTGTGCACATAATTAAACTCCATGACGTCAGTTTCGCTAGCGATGTGAGCAGGCGTTGTTTTTATAAAGTGTTTTCAGTTTTAAAATGCAGAGAAAAAACTGAAAGGTGTGAAGTCTGCGCTATCTCGCAACAAATGTTCTCATTCAAGTTTTATTCGTTTACAACTGCACCGTCTTAATTGAATACCGTTTGGATTAAGGTGCGACTGACACAATGTCCTTTCGGAAATCCCATAACAGCATGGTGAACAGACACAGAAAGACATTGGCAAGGCAAAAACTACTAGAGATGCTATGTTCTGCGTAAACACAATGAGGTGGTCTCCAAATTTGGAGGCGTCAAGATCTTGTGATGTTTGATTTGGAAGCAAAAGTTTATATTTTACTTTATCGTATCAAAACTTATCCACCGCAAGCGTTTCTGTTAAGTTAAGTCAGGATTTGGGAAGAGCAAATTCCTCAGTTAACAGGGAGCTGAGAAGCATGCACTGGTGTAACACTGTTAACAGTCAATGCCTGCCGTTGGGAAATACCTTAATTGTCAGCAAAATCTCTGATCATCAAGAAACTAATTTTATATATTTTTAGTGGAGAACCATGTTAAAGCAATTAGTCTTTCCTAGACAGAAAGGAACTAGAATTGCCTTCAGAAAATTCGTGGTCGTGGTCCTCGGAATGTTTCATATGGATCGTCGGAAAGCTTTTAGCTACCCCTTTATCCGGAAGATACAAAAATTCTTTGCTTTTGTTACTAAATAAAATTCACAAAAATTAAACCAAAGTAGAAACTCACTGGTGACTGACACGAATTCGGCAAAAGGCAAAAACTAGTATAAGGAATTTTATAAGGACAGTTTCTCTAACGTAGCGTTTTTTACTGGACAATAGAGATTTCAGACTTAAAGATATATCTCCTAGTTGTGACTGGAACGTAATGTCGGGAGAGCAATGGGTTGATGTATCATTTTACAAAGGAATAGTGTCATCAGTGATATCTTATTCCAGAAACTAGTTCTGCATATATATGCAAGGAATATTTTAAATCCTAATATCATCATCATCGACATCATAACATTGGTGTTCAACACTGATGCATTCCTTCCGTAAGTATAATCTACTTGCATAGTTTCGCCAGTGGAGCTTATTGGATTCTTTGATACTGTTCATTGTATAAAAGCACAATAATATTCTTTGTACTTTGAGTGCCGTCAGATTTTGTGGTGCTTTCTATCAGAAGACTTTTAGGGTAGCAGAGATTGAACCAGTTATATTCTGTAAATGGCGAAGCTGCTTTCCAACGAAGTCACATGGAGCAATGCGAAATATGTTCAACACTTCAGGGTTTACCGTACACCCAGAAACTATTTAACGGACGGAGTGCTGTCGATTGTGACAGACAAGAATGTCTCAAAAACCTCACAGATTTGCTCAAAAGGACACCCCTTACCTCGAACTGTTTCGGTGGCGACTAAAAACATTTTCTTTTTATTACATTAAATCCAGCCTCGGCAGTTGGTAGACCTGAGAAATATCTCAAAATATGAGCGATTAGAGATATCCCAACGATTACACTATGAATTTTTCTTGGATCTCCTGCTGATGATTAAGAATTTTCCTCTTTAAAACAGCATTAGTTGCTTTATCTCTCCGTCGTTCACTTCGCTTCCATTTCCATGCTATCCACGCGGAACGAAAAGCAGTTTTGGTCCCGCTGCCAAGTAAATTCAGTCTTTGCTTATAGGCGCTAAATTTATCGTGTCAGGAAACAACCACGTGCCTGGGTCTGGAAGGCATAACAGTAGGCTAATGGAGTGATACTACGCACAAGGCAAGAACACACCTAACAATTCCTCACAGCGGGTAGGCCAAGTACGGCGCCCTATGAAGGTCGCCGTAATTTGGCCTTCACACTGTCGCACCTATCAGCAATAGCTGCACCCATTTTGATAGACACAATGACGAAACAGGCTTCCGTACTGTTAGCTGTACATGTTTTCGAACGGATGGTCATGACGGCCGAAATTTTTGCGCCAAGCGTTTATGGGCACACAGCATATCTGCCAAAATGGTTCATTACCAGTTTCACCATCTGATTCTGTAAGTCGTACTTTATCAAACCTTCTCTCCTGGTCAAGTCTAGTTCTACACCCATGCTAGCGCGATCATCCAGACAGTGCACTTGGTAGCAGGATAATCCGATGTCCACCTCGAAAAGGTAACCAAATACAGTATGTGTAAATTGGCGACCAGAAGTCACAGAAACTCGAAAGAAGTGGTTATTAGGCATGGAAAAATTCTCAGTTATATAACTGGAAGGTATCGGTTTGCTTCTCCATATTTTCTGGAACAAGATTGGTACTACACAATTTTGCAATCTCTTTATGGTTATCTCAGTATGGAGCTAAACTTATTTTTGTAAAGAAACAATAGAGATAAAAAACACGATGCAGAATTGAGCCGCAAACCTGGAGCCACATATGGGAAACACTATAGCATAACCGGGGACGACTGCAGAACTTTCAGAAATTGACACCAGAATGGGTTCTTCAACAGAGTGCTACCCTATGCACCGGACCTCAACTGACTGTTCGTAAAATTTATCATCTAAATCAACTGACCGGGATGCAAAAGGGACATGTTTTTAATTGGTACATTTTCATCTCCATTCATGGCATTAGTATAACCTATTCAAGCACTGACCATGTCAACTGACTGAAGACTGAGGTGCCTGTATTATTCACTAAATCGTACTTACTTTTATGTGGACTCCCTACCATTATTAGGCTTTTTATGAGAAATAAAATGATTCATCGCCAATATTCGTTTAACTTCGAGAAAAATGAATTTAGCCAGTGAAGTTCTCGTGTATTTTCTCCGATTGCTGCACCGCCGTCGTTCTCATTGTGATGAAGACCAAAACACAGCAAGTAGGGACTGGCTTTCATTACACTTCTGATAGCAAGTGAAACGCAACTTTGTTCTGTAGCAACTCTCACGATCGGGTACGCACATCGCAAAGTTGACCGGAAAAATTCAAATGGTATTTTTTCTAGAATGCTGGTGCTGACCAGATTCTCCATCAACCTGTCAATCAGTACACAAAATGCAGGTTTACCAGCTTGCCTCCATTCAGTATGCACTGTATGGTTTTTTGTTCAACCAGAGCGAACGTAAAAGTGGGCAGGTGATCGATTTCGGTCGTAGTTTATACCTACCGTGCACTTGCTAAGGAATGTTTGTTGGTAGCAATCGAAGTGACACCCTGGGATTTTGATTGTCTATGTTCAATTACAAACCAATTTATCTACTTTTCAAAGCACTACTTACAATACGATTGTGTACATCAGAAATGATGATTTTTTGTTTTTTTAATTACAAACTAGTTCACGAGGAACCAATGAAAAAGTCGCCAAATACTGCATACACGACACTATTAAAAAATAAAATAGTCTAAGAAAAACCGGAAAGTTTCCAACCCTTAAACTAGGGGTAAAGCACGAATAATGTATGAGGGCAAACCTTGGTTGGAGTTTGGAAACAGAAGTCTGACGACTGTTATCGATAGACTTCAAGAAGAAAACACTCGTGGGCAAAGTAACAAAGACCATAATCCAGTTTGGCAAGCTAGGACTAAAATTTAACATGTCAGCTTGTAGGTTAGTAGTCTAGTTAAGACAGAATAAGTAAATCCTGCGTGAGAGTGACCGTAGTTGTTTTAGAAAAAAATGACAGAACATGAGCTTTGTCCTGGTGGCGAGAAACGATTTGGAAAATGGTGGTAACCAGGGGGGAATGAAGCTGTTTAGAAATAAAAAGATTCACAAAGAGCCACAAACATGATATGGGAGAAATATCCCATACTGGTACGGATCCGCGGCATACCCACTGGTAGCAAAGAGAGTCTTGAGTCCTGACAAAGGAGAGCCAAACTAGCTGCAACAGGTCGTTGAGATGAGCAATCGGGGGAAATAAGGAGGAGTACATTACTTAAAAAAGCATAAATCCAATCAGAGACGAAGTAAGTGGAATTGGTAATAAAAAGAAATAAAGGGGGATATATCTGAACACTTGGGACCCAGCAGAACGCCGTCAACATATACCGAAATCAAGTGCTTTTTAGAAGAGTTTCAATCCATTTCTTGGAGTATTTGCACTAGCACTCTGCTAAACTAATTCACATGGGATGGTTGATTTTTAAGCCTTCGATACATCAATTTATGCCA